GGCTTCAGTAGCTGATGCTGATACTGATCGCTGGGTTACGAGGACCTTCATGTATAATTTAGAGTGCAGGTCCCTGGAGATTGAGCCTAGGTGCTTGGTGTTTGAGAGTGATGCACAAGGGTCTGCGGCTTGGTCAGTTTCTGCTTCAATAAAAATTTATGATACTCAGTCCAAGACTTGAGTACATGGACTTACTTAATACAAGACCACTACCCTGAGCAGTGCTAGCTACATGAGCTCTGGCGCCAACATCCGATTGCAAAATTCCAGGCAAAAAGAATAATCATGGTGAAAAACAAATGCACTGCAAAACACATTCTCTGCAAACCATGACGGGACTGTCGATAAGTCGGCTGTGCGGCAGTTAGGTACTACCAGGGTGGCCAATGTGCCTGCTGCCCGCCCCAATAAGACCTTAACCCTGTCAATCATAGCTTGGACAGTGGATCTAGAGTCCAGACCATTCAAAGATTGAAAAGGAACAATAACCATTGGTGCAGAATTCCCAGATATTTTGATTACCAGAAAGTCTTTAAACATTATCGTTTGACGAAATGTATTTGGTCCCGTTCCATCATCGCATTGGCATGCAAATCATGGCAAAACTCTACCCCGAAATATATTTGTACGTAGGATTTACAGCCAACATTATGCATCACTACACCAAGACCCCCAACCCAACATTAATGTGAATCTGATATAAACTTGTCGGACACCCTAAGAACTCTTGACATGCGTCAGTAATGTAACACAAAGGATCACATTTGTATGAGGCAAGGCCATCACCATTTTATCAAGAGTTTAAGCAATACAATGTCGCCTTACAATCTACATGCTTAGCCTAAAGCTATTAGATTGATTATTCAATATGAAAAAATTAAATAAAAAACTAAGGATCCTGAATAAAGCCGTTTTATTCTTCTCTTTTAGAATATTTCGAAAGGCACATGAGCCGTTCAAAAAGAAGGCACAGGGGTGCGGCCTCGGCGCAGCCTTCAAACGCCGCCCCATTCAAAACAAGCGGTTTGGAAGCTTGCTCGTTGTCGTCTCGGGCTTATTTTTACCCAACTTGAAGTACGTCCCAGTGCCCTGTTTTGATTTATTTCATGCATGATTTTTAGCTGGATTTCACCCGTTCCGTATCTGCCTAGATTGTGATGTGGCGGGTCAAGTCATGGGTCTTCTAACTTGTTTTTGTTCTAAAACTTATAAGTGACGCCGATTGCGATTTCAGACGATTGCTCACCGGCGACTTTGTGGTATGTTTGGGCCGTGATTTGGCCTTCCTTTTTCCTGACTTTTACTTGCCTCTCATTGGCACAAAATGAGCAGTTCATGTCTGAACTTCACCTGTGTCATGGGTAGTCAAATGTCCCAGTGCTCAATGTGAAATGCAATAATCCCAGGCCAAGGATCGCATTGAGCATAATTTCACAGCACATAAAACACATTGCAGTCCTGTCTGGTAAAATTCTGCAGAACATTCATGGCACTGGACACCAGAACTAGAGTGATGAATAGGGGCTTAGTTTAGCAATACAAGTAAGATGACCCCACCTCACTCGGCTTTCCTGGCAGAAAAATGGCTTTGCAGAAACCCTTAAGCAATACAATTTGTTTTACCTTGCTGTGTTTTCATACTGTGACTTATCTTGTGCCATTCATTCAAAATAAAATAAACCCCATGCCTTGCAGGAATGGGGCTGTGTGCCAGAAGGGTCGTGTCCTGCCCTCGCCCTAGAGGCACTGCACGGACATCCATCCTGTTGTATTTATGGGTTGATCCCCCAAATGGTCTGTTTGTTCTATACCTAGAAACTTTTTCCCAAATTCTTTTGGGTCCCTTACCAGGCTTGAAATCCCTATGATGCTCTCAGTCAAGAAGCTTACAAGTATTAAATCCACAATGAGCTGCATAACAAGGGAAGTTTCATTTTGAATCCACTTATTGATATATGATATATGAGAAAGTGGGTTGTTATATGTTCTCACACAGCATATGTAGTGATCTATTGATACCCTGGAGTAATGTCCTTGACAATTTCTGCTGGAATGCCTTTAGATGCATGTTGCAATTTGCAACATGATAGTTGAATGATGAACAATGACAGGACAATGAAAGAGAAGTATGCCTCTGGTTTGTGTAGCATTTCATTCACACATTTTGGAATTTTCAATATGATAATTCAGACCAATAAAATGCATCTTGCCCAGTTTGGTCACAACACCACAAGCTGTCACCTGATCTTAAAAGAGTGGTTCAATGGGGGAGTGTTGAATGCAAATCAAGTACAAACATTCCTTATGCATGGTGGTAGACACAGGAAGCTAGTATGAACAATGGTTGTATAGCTCTGACTGCCAAGGTGTTTGGGCCTTTCCTAGCTTACACAAAGGGCTATGTAAATAAAGAAGTAGCAAACTAATACAATATAGTAATCACTGTGACTGCCAACTGATCTCAGTGCATAGCTTTCCTGACTTCCATATTGTGTTGATGTTTGATGTGCAGAAGCTTATCTGTTACTTGACTGAAAGGCCCACTATTTGTGCTCCACTGATACCATATACCCAGCAATAATACCATTTTGCCAAGACTCTTCTTTGATCATTGGCTATCATCTGACGAAGGACAGGACTGTCAGGCCTGTGGAGACTGATCAGCAACAGACAGCTGATCCCTGCACTAATCGCAGTCTCTGCATCGTCAGTCCCCGAGTAACAGGCAGTGTTCTGCTTCTTGGGGGTCCATGGAGATATTATTGACAGCTGTTGTCACCTGTTGCGTGAGGGCGCTGCTGTCTGGTGAAAAGTCAGATGCTTCAGCAGTCTCGCTCGGCCGGTGTCCGTCCTTCACCGTCGTTCTCCAGTGACGAGCCGCCGCCGCCGCTCTGTTCTCAGGCTGTTCGCCATGTCGGCCGGCTGGCGTCGGCGGGGCGGTGACAACCGACAGCGAGGACGAGGTGTTCATGGGGCCTGTGACGGATCGGGAGCAGGGAGATCAGTCGGCTCCTGAACGAGACTGTCAGCCTGGCGGACACCAGGTGGGCCAGCACTGCCCGGGATGGCAGCAGCCGGCTAAAGGGCTCTGACAGACAGGGTTTTACGGGATTATATCGCCCCATTAAACTAACGGTGAAGAAGCCGCAAGCACCCTGACAAAATTTCCATTCGGGGCAATGGATCATTTCACCAACTGGATCTAATGAGAGATCATGATGCCATAGGCAATCACGAGTTCGCTGTGTTTAAGATGACCGATTGACCATTTAGGCTCGGGGGCGGGAACTCTCGGGGCTTTGACCGGCCGGTGCTCGCCTGCAGTCGCCCACTGATTTACGGTAGAACTTCCACCGAATGGCAGATCACTGGATCAAGCTTCAGGCACGTACATCGTGAAGGTGGCATTAGCTTGCATCATAGAAGGGATTGTGTTTGTTTATCCGGAATGTGTGGTATCAGCTTCCATAATTCCAGGACAATTTTGACGATGTTGATTACTTTTATTTGCATGTTTTGACACCTCCACAAACTTCAACAGAATGAGGCAATATTCCTGAATGGGTACAACATTATATTTTATAGCATAAGGTCAAGAAGTACTTAAACATCACAACACAAAACCAATAATCAGTAGCTCAGATATGATGTAAGAAAAACCCACAGAAGTTTTTTTTTGTAATGTAAATGATTGTTCAGTTGCAGCCCATTTGGCTGAACAAATGCAGCCATACAAGTTTATGATGCATGCAAAATTAATGCTGTCATGTATCTTATTTTTTGTCAGTTCTTTGTGGTCAGAACTGCTTAAGAGCAGGGCAGTAAGGAAAGCCTCTCTGCTCTGCTCTGTCTGAAGGTAAGCCTTCCTGCTCTGTTTGCCTAAAGGTAAGCCTCTGCTCTGCTCTGCCTTAAGGTAAGCCTGTGCTCTGCTCTGCTCATAGGTAAGCCTCTGCTCTGCTTTCCTTAAAGGTAAGCCTCCCTGCTCTGTTCTGCCTAAAGGTTAGTCTCTCTGCTCTGCTTTGTTTAAAGGTAAGCCTCTGCTCTGCTCTGCCTTAAGGCAAGCCTCTGCCCTGCTCTGCATAAAGGTAAGTCCCTCTGCTCTGCTCTGCCTTAAGGTAAGTTTCTCTGCTCTGCCTTGACCTAATGTAGGCCTCTACCCTGCTGCTCTGCCTAAAGGTAAGCCTCTGCTCTGCTTTGTTTAAAGGTAAGCCTTCCTGCTCTGCTCTGCCCTAAGGTAAGCCTATCTGCCCTGCTCTGCCTAAAGGTAAGCCCCTCTGCTCTACTCTGCCTTAAGGTAAGCTTCTCTGCTCTGCTCTGCTCTGCCTGAAGGTAAGCTTCTGCTCTGCCCCGCCTAAAGGTAAATGTGTGCTCTGCTCTGCCCCAAGGTAAACATCTGCTCTGCTTTGCCTTAAGGTAAGCCTCCCTGCTCTGCTCTGCCTAGAGGTAAGCATCTGCTCTGCTGTACCTAAAGGTATGTGTCTACTCTACTCTGCCTTAAGGTAAGTCTCTCTGCTCTGCCTAAAGATAAGCCTCTGCTCTGCTGTACCCTCAGGTGCAGCAGAGCTCTTCTGTCTGCTCTCAACCAGTATATTCTACTGACGGCTCGCAATGCTCCTCGAGCTGGGTCATCGCAGTGCTGTGCTGCACCTCGCCAATGTCTAACACACGCTTGCTGGCTGCGAAGGTGACCCGGCCCGTCCGAGTGAGCGAGTGACCTGGCCTGACCTGATCTGACCTGACATGACCTGCGGTGCACCCCTCCAGCGGCAGCCTGACCGACTCGATGGCTGTCCTGGAGCGCGGTCTGGGCACCGTCGCGCTGGAGGGCACGCGTGACTCAGTCACCATGGACGAGCTGCTGCTGCCGGCCACAAGCGCCGTCTGCCGGTAAGCCCCCCCCCCCCCCAGGCTTGCTACAACCATACCAGCCACTGGTGCACATCACATTACAGTTAACCCTCGTCACGCATGGCTGAATACACCTCTTTTGCAGTGACGTAAATGATGTAAATCATGGCGCACAAAGTTGCGTAGTAGCTTTCTAGTTGGATGACCTGGAAATAAGGTATTGTGCAGTTGGATTGTAGCTTGATGAAGAAACCCATCCGTCCATTTAACGCCAATTTAGTGACAGGCCTTTCGCCGAACTTGGCCGAGTCGCCCCATGCCAGACAGTTTGTTTCGGAAATAACGCGAAATGTCAGTGACGGGGCGTCATGGCCGAGTGGTTAGCGCATTCGGCATCCGTGTTGGGTGACGAGCTAGAATTCCGCAGTCATGGCTCTTGAGCTCTAATATGACTTCCGTAGGCGCTGCCCCCCCCCCCCCCTCCCTCCCCGACGAAAGGGTGCGCGACGACGTGCATTGTTTTCTTCTTGAACAAATGAGCAAACCTTTGATATTTTTCGGATTGGTTTCTGCTATAACCTCCTTGTTTTTGCCTGTTTGCTTTACTTTTTCCGGTTGCTTTACGCACCCGATCTGACACCGGATCGTTATTTGGACAACCAATGGCCCGCAAGCATTTGGCTTGCCCTGCAACGACAGAGTTGCGACTTCCCAAAGAGACGAAACAGACAGCATAAGATCCCAATTCAATTTTTTACAAACTGGGATGGGCGCGCAATGATGATCGTCGTTGATGTACGCCAAAACGAAAATCATCATCACACACAGACTGGGAGGATATGGCCCGTGAACATTACCTGCACGGGACGTTGATGGTACGCGACCAAACTGTTAAACATAGAACAATGTACTCGTTATCACCGCTGTCCACGGAGTACCAGGGGTACTTTGAAGTGGCCTTGAAGTCTCCGATCCCACCAATGAAAAGCGAACGCTGTTTTTGCTCTACAATGCTCTTGAAAATATTATATTTCTGAAATTACTCAGTTGCTCTTGGGCTGCTGTTCTTTTGCGGGTCGTTCGTAATTTGGATGAGACGCGGATACGTCGGGCTCATGATGACGTCGTTCGGTAGTGAAACAAAGACAACATGACACTGGCGTCTTCTCTGCATGTGCGACGTTTTGTGCCTGTCACGCATGCGTTCTGGCAATGTGATGAGACAAGACAGTGAAACTAAACATAGATCGTGTCGTTAGCTGTGGCGAGGTTATCAACGTACGGACGCCGCATGCCCGCTGCGATCGAAGCGTCTCTGAACCCAAGTATCATCATACGTGACGGACTGCAGCTGAAATGTCTTCCATTCCGACTAAAGGAGAAATGCTATCTGGTTCGGAGGCGGTATCATCAGCTGCCATCGCCGGCATGCTAGATACACCCTGAACGTCCATCCTGAACAAATGCAGATATGTTGCTTTCTGTGCCTCAGTTATGGAGATTGCCAATGTCTTCCATCGCGATGTTGTTCCAAGCTGCCCCAAATGAGCCAATCCCACGTTTTTGTGAGATGCTGTCTGATTTGTGCTGACCTGCCTGCAGATATCCGGTGACCAGCAGTCGTCTGGAGGAGTCGGTGGCGCCCCTGGCCTCCAGCGGCTGTCTGATTTGTGCTGACCTGCCCGCAGATATCCGGTGACCAGCAGTCGTCTGGAGGAGTCGGTGGCGCCCCTGGCCTCCAGCGGCTGTCTGATTTGTGCTGACCTGCCTGCAGATATCCGGTGACCAGCAGTCGTCTGGAGGAGTCGTGGCGCCCCTGGCCTCCACGCGAGGACAGCAGTAGCGACGATGGAGGAGCTGGCCACCGAGCAGCGCTGGCTGGCACAGAGGAGCGGCGATGGCAGGAGATGCCCACCGAGCACTCGCTGGCCGGCACAGAGGAGAGGCAGTGGGAAGAGCTACCGACGGAGCAGTCACTGGCTGTTGGGGAGGAGTCATCGGCACATCAGTCGCTGGCCGGCGCCGAGGAGCGGCGGTGGGAGGAGATGCCCACCGAACAGTCACTGGCTGTTGTGGAGGAAAGTCAGTGGGAGGAGCTGCCAACGGAGAACGCGAGCGCCTGGCGCACTCTGCTGTCTGATGTCTCGATCACCGTGCCGGGCGACTCGCTGGACGAGCGACGCGAGACGGCCGTCTCGCTGGACGAGCGTCGTGAGACGGCTGGCTCGCTGGACGAGCGTCGCGAGGCGGCCGGCTCGCTGGCCCCCGCCGACTCTCTGTTGGGGGCGCTTCATGACGAGCTGGCTGGCTCTTCCGCCGGCCCGCTGGCACCCGGATCGCCGTCGGACGATCACGGCAGCTGCGGCGGCGGCCTGCTGCAGCCATGGAGCAGCAGATGGCATCGCCGTCCGGCCAGTCTGTGGACTCGTACTACACCTGCGCAGAGGGCGCAAGCCGAGACACCAGCCGTCGGCTGACGGGGCTGTCGGAGCTCTCGCTGGCGCCGGCCGCGCCGCCCAACAGCTGGCTGGCCGCCGACTCCAGCTCCGGCTCGGTGCTGTACGAGTCGACTCTGGAGGGGCCAGACGTGTCGCTGGCTGCGGGCGCCGGCGGCGAGCGGCGGACGGGCCCGGCGGCGGACAACACGACCAGCGACAACGTCAGCCACCGGCCATCACTGGCCGGCTCGGTGTCGGAGCTGGCCACGGACAGCGAGCTGAGCCTGGCCGGCGGCAGCGAACGGTCCGGCTCACAGAGCGAGATGAACGACACGCTGGAGATGATGGAGCGCCTGTTGGCCATGGAGGCCGAGGAGCGCCGGCTGGAGACGATCCTGCAGAGTCGCGCTGCCGCCGGCGACGACACCGACCCGCCGCAGGACAGCGGTGCCGCTGCGCTGCGGGAGCCGCCGCCGGCCGTGCAGGCCGAGCCGCGGCAGACAGGGCGGCAGGCGCGCACGCCGGTCGGCCGCGGCGTGCCAGCGGCGCCCGGCAGTCAGAGACGGCCAACGGCGGGCCGCTCGCCGGCCGGCTGCTGACGCCGCGCGGCCGCGCGAACAGCGGCCTGCACGCCGCGGGGCCGCGCCCCGCCCTCCCGGCCCCCGCGCTGTCCGCACGCCGACCCTGGCGCCGCCCTCCACCCCGCGCTCCCGGCCCCAGCTGGCGGTGAGTGTCGACGCTGGACTGGGACGGTCTCGGGGTCTGTGGCCATGTGGGGCTACGTCCAGACGCTGGCGCTGTCGGTCTTGGAGTGGCGTCACTCCTGCCGCCAGTCGACATTTACGGCGGGGCGTGGCTTATGTTGGCGCCTGTGCTTGGGAATACGAGTAGGGTGCGCGGTAGTCCAGCGGTGCTCCGTCTTTGCGCGTCACGTCCCCATCCTGCCGTCAGCCGGCGGTGGCCGTCTGACCTGACCTGATCTGATCTGACCTGACCTGACCTGACCTGATCTGACGCGCCGCTCGGCAGGACATCGTCAGCCCCGTGGCGCGCTACATCCACGATGCGCCGGTGCCGTCGCTGGTGCAGAACGTGCGACCCCGCACCCGGGTGGTGCAGGCGGTGGTGCCGCGACCGCGACCACACCTGCAGCCTGTCAGCGAGGAGCCGGCTGCCGTGCTGAGGGAGGCCAACGCCGCCCGGACCAGCCACATCCCCGTCAAGGTAGGAGGCTGTGGCGGCGCGACAGACGCCGGCGCCGCTAGGTGTCAGGCTGGCGGGCGGGCGGCCGTGAGGTGCCGTCCGTCTTGTTTGACGCAGCTGCGAGGAGTGATGGGACAGGAGGCGCACTTTTCGCCTTGCACGTATGTCACACGGTTGCGGGAATCGGTAGAATCAGTATGCGTAAGCATACGCGAATACCGCACCCCCTGGGGTCGGTGCCACGTACCAACACCCCCTGTGGGCCCTGCTGATGGGGGGGGGGGAGGGGAGCTGGCACGTGCCGCGCCCGGCGGACGTTGGCCCGAGCCAGGGCTGGGTCTGACTGCCCAGTGTTCCGCCGCGCTCTGGCTGGACGAGTAGCCCACACAGACGAGCGCTACCCTCCCGCTCCGACGCGCCACAATAGATGGACCGGCGCCCATCAACGTCAGTTGATGGATGTTGATAATAGGGGCGCTGTCATGGTTTTCTAATGCTGCGGATGTAATACCGTGCACATCTCAGCTCATTCACTCTACAGCATTAACACGCGCCCGGGCGACCGGTTGAATACCGTTCGCAACCGAGGTTAGTTTTGACCTCCTTTTGAACTTCGTACCTGACCTTAGGTCAATGTAATGCGCTATTCTAGATTTAGTTGATATTTTGCTTAAGGAACTATCTCAGAGATGAATGACCTCGTCTAACACTCCGCTGTCGCATCAGACTGAACTTCCGTAGAAATTCCCTAGAAATGGCCTTCGCTGACAGCTGCGGCCTGACTTTGACCTGCCATACGTCAGCGACCTTACAAGGTACATACCATTTTTATGTAAAAAATCGCCTTTCAAATTGCCTACAGCCATGCAAGGTTTGTAGCGTAAGGTATATTCATGCGTAACGTAACGTATCTGTAGCAGACATCATCTAATTATGATAAGTGTGAGGTGATGTATGTGGGTAGTTCTGATGGTGAGGACATTAGCTATGTTATGCGAGGCCGAAAGTTGAATCAAATCAAGGGCGGAAGGGACCTACGGGTTATAATTTTCAGGAGTTTAAAGGCTGAAAAAACAATACGGGGCTGCTTGGAACAAGGCAGTCGGGATGCTGGGAATTATTGACAGGAATGCCATTACAAGAGCAGGAATATTGTCAAGGGCTGAACTTAGCTTATGTCAGACCACACCTAGAGTATTGTGCGCGGTCTTGGTACCCATTCTTCCAAAATGATACAGATAGACTGGAAAGAATATAGTGAAAAGCTACCAGGATGAGAATGGGCATTGGCAACTTTGACGTGTATATTATGTGTTTACTATATTTACATATGTATTATATTATATATATATTATATATATAATATATATATTTTATATATATATTATAATATTATTACTATAGATATAGATATTAGTGAAAGGCAAGAGTAGAGGGATCGTGAGGAGGCAGATATCATTTAGTCAAAGGGTAGTAAATCATTGGAGGGCCTGCCAAAAGAAGCTGTTTGATGTTCCTCCGTAGCAACACTGAAAAATCGTTTGGGACAGGCTCTATCGGTCTAAGGATCCCAATATAGCTAAATTCAGGCAGGCTCGTGGTAAGATTAGTGCAGAGAATGGGTTGCGGAACCATGGGGTCGGTCCGGACCGACCTCGATGGGCCCTTGTGGTTCTTTCTTGGCCTGATATATGTATCTTTATGTATTTAACCAGTAGCAGCTGGCCGACGGTCCTGTGTTCGTTGTACGAGAGCGTGACACTGTGACCCTTGACCATCGGCTGTGGCGCACGTAATGTGCCGCCATGCGAGTGCGGTGCTGCCGACCCGCAGCGGCACGCAGGCCTAATGCGTCGGCGCGACGGGCTCCAAACGTCACACACGAGCTTACGTGCGGCTTACCACACGCTTACTGCATGTGGCCCGGCGGGCTGGGCATTCGTTCACCGTAGAGCAGCTCGGCACCCGCACGAACAAAGGAAAGAAACCTTACATCATCACGCGTTTGCATTATAGATGCGATTACCTGACGCATTCTAACGCTACGCGCACTTTGAATGATCATTATTCAGTAAATACCAAATAAAGTAAGACTGATCTCCACCCCCAAAAGATCGTAACCATCTTAAAGCCAACACCCAATGACCTGCCCCAGAGGGACCGCGTGGCGGAGCGCCCAATATATACGCCAAACGATTCCCCGCGGCGCCCGCCCTTCCTGCCAGGGTGAGAGGCAGGCGACGCCATATAGCCTCAGCAGCTGAGTGCGTCGTAAAGCCCCAATGACACGACACAGCCATGTCCAACCCTGGACGCCGCCTGTCGGCCGCAGCGGTCACTGCTCCTGTTGCCATCTGGTGGCGGCGCCCCGAACTCCGCACCAGGCTGAACGGCGCCGCTCATGGTGCTGGAGCCTAAACATCTCTACATCATGTGACCTCCCGTAATCAGTTAAGTGTAGGTGCTACCACTCAGGCATGGATTCATTCCATTGCAGTTTTAAGTGTAAATAAGATTCCGATAAAGGTAATCAGTGTTTATGAAGACTTGCTCTTGAAATCACGTTGGTGCTGCAAGTTCTGGAGACACATATAAACACATGACAAGTTGAGGCTTTCCATATCGTGCCCATTCGCAGTTGTCCAAAACTGCACAGCTAGCCAGTCAGGCCGAAGGCACAGTTTGCATTTTATTTCAGTTTTTAAGTTTATTCCGCACCTGATTGCCGAGGAATGTATCCAATGTGATGCATTTTTGCCAATTGCCTACGGCGGCAGCTGCTGTTGCACATCGCCAACGTAATGTGTGACTCACATTTGTTTTCATTGTAATCACATTTGGCTGAAATATGCTTTCAGTTCATTTCAGTGTATTCAAGAACAAAATCCGGGCGCGGGGACATAAGGTTCCAAGGAGCCGACGGACCGGGTGCAGGGAGACGACGAACTGGGTGCAGGGAGACGGGAGATGGATCGGGTGCAGGAAGGCGGGGGACACACCGGGCACAGGGAGACAAGGGACGGACCGGTTCTGGGAGACGAGGGACGGACCGGGTCCTGGGAGACGAGGGACGGACCGGGTCCTGAGAGACGAAGGACGGACAGGGTCCTGGGAGACGAGGGACGGACCGGGTCCTGGGAGACGA